GGTAGGTACAACTGTGGCCATTCTGATGTTTTCTCCACAGATACGCATTATCAGTCTTCACTGTTCTCTCTTGTAGTTTGCATTCCTCTGTTTTCTTCATAAAGAGGTTGAGCATTGAGGAAATGAGCAATTAAAATTATTTTTTGGCATTTGTTCCAAAGATGGAAGAAAAATTACATTCTGTTACTAAAATGCAAAATGAAAATACATGAGGAAAAGCTCTGTGGAACCAGAACCAACTAAAGAATCTGATCTGAATTTTTTTTTAACAAGAACAAAGCAAAACAAAACAAGCATGCATTTGCTCCATCTGTCACTGGCCCATGGAAAATAGGGTGGGGTCTACCCAGATTTAATTTGTTGACACAATGACATAAGGGGCAACACTAATTTAATCTTGTCTTCAAAATCAAATAATGATTAACCACACTGAATTCTTCCCACAAATTTCATTACTATTTTTTATTATTCTAATTATCCACAAAAGTCCTGTTTTTAAGGGCAGACTTTCTATCATGGGTTATTACAATTGATTAAATGAGAAGCATCTAAAATGTTTTCTGTTTTCTTGGAATCCCAATGACGTTACTAATGCAGACTCAGATTTGAATAACCACAGCTGAAACTATAAATGGAAGATGGAAATTATGCCTCCAGATGTGGGGAGTGTTTCACAATGCACATCATTCTCCTGCCTCTTAATCTAAAATAGTAGTAATAATGTTAACATAAAATAATAGGTGATTCATGGTTTCAAAGCAAGTTTTTCCATGGTTAGATATCATATTTTTATTGTGTGACCATAATTTTTACAGGATTTTCATCAGAAAGATAAAGAAGAATTGATGAAATGATAATTGCCTTGGGATAAAATGTAAATTCCATTAATTTTTTGAAGGTTTAGACTTTTGCAATTGTTAGCTTGTTCCCGCAGTTTATCTCACCCCTGTATCTTAATTCCTATTTTCAGGGCCTTTCTCAATTCTTGATGCACTTGTATTGTATAATTTCATTATTTTGGCACCAAACAATATTGAGGAAGAAATTACTATTATCACTCTTTTATGTTTGAGGAAACTGAGGTTCAAAGAAATTCAATAATTTATTGAGCAAAGTCACACAGCTAGCAAGAGGCAAAGCTGGGATTGGTGCCCAGGCTGACCCAATGCCAAAATTAATGTCTTTTCTAGAAACCTATATTGTCACAAGCCCTGATTTCCATCTCCTTATTATTAACCTCAGGAAAGCTCCTGAAAATTTTGGCATGCTTATAAAAGATTTTCCAAATTAATCTGCCATAGACTTTAGGACAGAGGCTAGTTCTGGTTACTCTCTGCTTCTGGAGAGTATAGTACAGGGTTAGCAGCAGAGGATCCATTCATTAGAACATCTTTTTTTTTTTTAATTGTACTTTAGGTTCTGAGGTACATGTGCAGATCATGCAGGGTTGTTGCATAGGTACACACATGACAGTGTGGTTTGCTGCCTTCATCACCCTGTCACCCACATCTGGCATTTCTCCCCATGTTATCCCTCCCCGACCTCCCCACCCACCTTCCCATTATCCCTCCCTTGGCCCCTCCAACAGACCCCAGTGTGTGATGCTCTCCTCCCTATGTCCATGTGTTCTCATTGTTCAACACCCGCCTATGAGTGGGAACATTTAGTGTTTGATTTTCTGTTCTTGTGTCAGTTTGCTGAGAATGATCATTAGAACATCTTTAAATGAGGGACTGGGATTTCTATTTAATCTGCACTAATGGAGTCCTACTGGATAGGGAAACAGGAAACAGAAAAACGAAAGGAAAAAAAGAAGGAGAAAGAATGGGGGCTGAAGACAAGGATAAAGAGGCTCAAGAGGTCCCAGAGGAGGACTGGTGACACAAGATGGCTGCGAAACCCACCCAGGTTTTGGTTGACCTCCAAGAGACCTTTTCAGTAATAGATGAGAAGAGTGTCTATGAAATAATTATCAGGAGCAGAATGCCAGGCACAGAATATTTCTCCATTATCTGCTACAGGCAAAAGAAACTCAGGTTCTTAAAAACAACTTGTTCTTTTCTACTCTCACACTGTTAAATTATAAATCCTCAAAGCTAGAGTGTTAAGCAAAATTTAGCAATCTTAAAAACAATACTAAATAGCATTTACTTAGTTAATAGTCTGGATCAGACATTCTGCTAACTGAGGTAACTGCCTGTATTACCTCATTTAATCCTCACAACAATTCTATGAAATAATTACTATTATTCCCCTTTGTACAGATGAATGGGATGAAGCTCAGAGAAGTTAAGTAACTTGCCCAAAATCAGAAAGGAATAACCTTTCTGAGTGTAAGTTTGATCTTCTGTAAATCAGGGATTATAACAGCTCCCTATTAGAGTTCTGTTCGAATGAAAAGAGAAAATGCATATATATGGGAAGAGAGTCCAGCATACAGCAAACAACAGGCCTTCACTCAGTAACTTAAAGCAGAAGTACAGATGTGGTTTGAATGCAGGTGGTTAAGGTCCCAGGTGTTACAATCAAATACAGCAGTCAAAGCACTTGCTCTGGTATATTCATCTGGATGGGTTATCTTGGCTCTCTAAGCTAGCCTTGTTTCCTTAGTTCTATATGCTAATACACAACAATGATAGAATATGCCTTATGGGGATATTGTTAATAATCAAATGAGGTTATTCATTTAGGTAGGTAGAATTCTACTATGCTCTGTATGATCTCTGCCCTCTGGTGTCATTACTTTCATAATCCCCTCCCTCTGAGTGTGAGAGGCACCTGTGACTTGCTTCTAACTAATAACATGTCAAAGTCAATGGTATATCATTCGTGATTAAGTTCCATTATATAAGACAAGCTTGTCCCCCTGGCAGCCTGTGGACTGTGGCCCAGGATGGCTTAGAATGTGATCCAACACAAATTTATAAACTTTCTTAAAACACTATGAGATTTTTGTGTGTGTGTGATTTTTGTTTAGTCATGAGCTATCATTTGTGTTCATGTATTTTATGTGTGGCTTAAGAAAATTCTTCTTCCAGAGTGGTTCAGGGAAGCCTAAAGATTGGACACTCTTGATATAAGACTTTGTTTTAGCAGAGCAAAAAGAAAAATTCCCCCACTGGCCTTGAAGAAACAAACAGCCATGTTGTGAGCTGCCACGGAGGGGCCATGCAGCCGGTAACTCCAGGCAGCCCCTGGAGCTGAGGTAGCCTCCAGTTGACCATCAGTAAGAGGGCAGGGCCTTCAGCCATGAAGCCACAAGGAATCAAACTGAGAAATCCTGGAAGCAAATTCTTCCTTAGTTGAGTTTCCAGATGAGAATGCAGCCCAGCTGACACTTTGATTGCATCCTCATCAGTTCCAGAGCAGAGGACTCAGCTCGGACTTCTGACCCATAGAAACTGACAGATAATAAACGTGTGCTGTTTTAATCTGATAAGTTGTAACAATTTATTATGCATCAAGAAATAACCTAATACATACATATAAAACATTTGGCACTGAGCCTTGTATGTATTAGTTTTCAAAAAAATACTACATGTATCTTCTACATATGTCAATCAGCAAACATGTTTACAGAGTTCTTACTTGTGTATAATACATCTCTTTAAAAAACAATTGCACTTAGTGGATTCATGCCTTCTATATAGTTAAGAAAAATACATTTTTAGAATTTTCTGGTTAACTTCTCCTAATAAGATCCAGAATTACAGAACACTCTTAGAGGCTCCAGTTAGCTACATTGCAACAAGGTCTCAGAGAGGCTGTGGATGCACAAGATTCAACTGTGTACCTGGAATATGAAAGGTCTCCAAATAAGGAGTGAATCTCTAAAGTGGATGGATAGGAAAGACTTTATATAAACCATGTCATTTATTTTTAGGCTTTTGTCATATTATTAAATGACAATTTTTAGCAAACTGAATGATAGTAGCAAACTTCAGTTTACTCATGTTTAGCCATGATACAATACACACATGCTTTTAAAATCCTCTCTAACAGCTGGTGAGAATTCAGCCTGAGACAAATTCATAAACATGTATTTTATAACCAGCTTGGTGAGATATTAAAAAAATGAAGCCAGCTTTATCAGTTATTCAATAAATGTAAATAGAATATTTTCACAATATAGGCTGTTCCTGCTTTAAGTCTGCTGATGTTTAGGGGCTTCTCCAAGGCTGCTGATGATGGGGGGGATGCTCCTTCTCTAAGGTTGTTGATGTTTTGGGGCTTCTCCCTCAGACTCCAGTTACCCCTAGAGAAGGGGATTACACGACCATGGACACACTGACAAAAGTATTGAAAGACAAAATAAAAGAAGGTCTTCTTCTTGCCATACACTAGAGCTCTCCTTGGCTACTACTTCGGAATAAGGACTCCACTTACACAACTTTTCCATACCTAGTCTAGCGATGTTTTTCATTATATTAACCTCGAAACAAGAGAGGACTAGTTTTTATTAACCCATCCATTCCTTCAATAAATAAGTTATTGAGTATTTACCCTATACCAGTAAAATAAAACAGAAGAGGCTAAAGAAGTTTAGTGACTTAACTGATGTCACACATTTGAAATGCAGAAGAGTTGGGACTCACACCTACAGCCAGCTCTGTTGGTCTGTTCCCAACATGTCCTCTGGCCACAGCAGAGGACAATTACTTGTTTCTGTCATAATGATGTAAGATTCAGGGACATGAATGAAGCTGGAAGACACCATTCTCAGCAAACTAACGCAGGAACAGAAAACCAGACACCGCATGTTCTCACTCATGAGTGAGAGTTGAACAACGAGAACACATGGACACAGGGAGGGCAATATCATACACCGGGGCCTGTTGGGGCAGGGGAGCAAGGGAAGGGAGAGCATTAGGACAAACACCTAATGCATGTGGGGCTTAAAACCTAGATGATGGGTTAATAGGTACAGCAAACCACAATGTCACATGTATACCTATGTAACAAGCCTGCACGTTCTGCACATGTATCCCAGAACTTAAAGCAAAATAAATAAATGGATAAACAACTTTCTAAAATTAGAAACAAATGCAACCTCAAGGGGAACAATGTCAGAATTAGTTCTGAAAGACAAATGATACCTTGTTGTTCTAACAGGTTTTGCTTAGGACCATAATTGTCAGGGACGTACAGAGATGTGTGCCAATCCCAATACTCAACACTTGATGACCCCAGACTGTGCAGTGGGGAGGCACTGACTCATCACCTAATTACAGCCCCACAGTCTTCAGATTGCCCAGTGCCTTGTGTTGATATTTTGGTTTGTAATTTTAAGTCTGCTATAAACTACTGCTCTGAAGGATACCTTCCAAATAAACCCTCTCGGAAAGTTCTCCAAATCATTGAAGGAAAAACAAACACCACCACTTATTTCAAAGTCTTTCCCATATTGCACTCCCAGTACTTGCAAACAGTTATACTAGCCATTAATTCCTTTTTTCAACAAATGTTGATAGATCACACCTCCTAGTTGGGGGACACAATCACAATGAAATTGATTTCCACTGGGCAAGAATAACTCTCAGTCACTCCCCCTTGTGTCTCATGCATCACTCAGCACCTGCTCACAGTCTTTGCTATAAACCACCTTTAATTTCTGATGCATAGTCCTCACAAAAACACATTTTGTTATTTCCAGATCTTGTACAGAGTTTGGCATATATAGCTACATAGACTAAATGAACGGGCATAGAGAAAAAACAACCACTAAAGAAAGGACTCTTAAACCAATACCTTGGAAAAGTGTTGATGAGTGGCTGACAGTGTGGGCTGTGGAACCAAGCTGCATGGATTTGAATCTCGGTTCTTCCATTCACTAGCTGTGCATGATCCCAGGCACATCAACTTCACTTTACCTGTAAAAGAAGGATAATAATAGCAATTATCTCATAGGACTATTGGAGGAATGACAAAAGCTAACAGGTAAAAAGCTTAGTACAGTAACTGACATTTGGTAAGCACCCAATAAATGTTAGCTATCATTATTATAAAGAATATTGAATATTTCCATCAAAATTAGATATCTCTTTATATACTGTATAAATTCACTTTTCATAGTAAATTTGAGAAAACTATCTTATCTTCCATACCAGCTACCTTTGGGAGAGTAATTCCAAAGTCACCATCATAAACATAAGCTATTGTTTTATAATCGGGGCAGGAAGAAACAAATGTTGTTTTTAAAACTTAGATCTATAACATGAATTGGTTTTATATTCCGACTCCTTCTTCTCCCCATTGTTGTAAGTACAATTTGTTAATTCCTTTCTGTGTTCCTGGTCCTATGCTAAACTTTCTTTCCACTCTGATTACTCTTCACTGGTTTCAAGCCAGACTGCCTAAATTTGCAATCTTGTTCTTCTACATCCTGTCTATGAGAGCTTTACTCTCTGTGCATCAGTATCCTCATGCATCAAGTGGGAAAATAAGTTGGACTTACCTCTTGGTATGGTTAAGTTGGCGTAATACTGCGCAAAGATCGGTCCCCAGTGAGTTCTAGCTATTTTACTGTTACTGTGAGATCTCAGGACAATATATGACCTCATAGCTGTTTGCTGAACACTTGGTATTATGTTCTATGAGCAGCAAGAGCAATGACTCAGTGCTAGGATAGTACAGAATGGGTAGCAAAAAATGCAAAGTGTTCCATGAAGCCGGAATATGTGTCACTCCAAACATGAAAGCCAAAACCCTCTTCCAGATGTTGAAGCACTCCTGCTTCAAGGCATGCCCAAAAGCCAGGCCTCCCCACTTTGCTTAGCAATGAAGGCCAATAATCCACCTTAATTTGGAAAATTCCACTCACGTTCCTGGTCTCTGGCTTTCCACATGTCCCCACGAGCTTTTATGCCAGGTTTGAGTTCCAAATGTTGAAGGGGAAGAAAGAAGGGAATGGAAGAAAAAAAAAAGGTAGAGGAAAGGTCGGAAATTTAAACTGAATTGTTTGGTCATGGAAAGTCCCTTTCAAGTCTCCTTAATTCTTTATTTGGATTCCATTGAGTGTGTGCCAAAAAAGAAAAAGGAAAGATTAAATTCTCCTATCAGATCTGGCAAAGAAGTGCAGCCAAGCAGCTTAAGGAACAGATTAGCTTGCCTTGAAAGCAGAAGTGTCGATACACAGGATGCCAGCAGGCTACAAGGACCCCTCCTTAGAGGCCTTGGCATTCACTGGCCCTGGGAGAGGATTGCAAGAGGAAATTGGCCCACATATAATAGCTTGATACTCAAGGAAGTACGAAACATTCCCTCTGCCCAGGGGTGGAAGGAGGCTTTAGGTACTCATGTCTTAGCTAGTCGGATCCACTTCCCTTTGAAGAATAAACTTTCACATCCTCCCCACAGAGAAATACAAGATTTTGTCACCAACTTTAAGGGGTTCATGGACCTCAGCTATCCCACTCACAGACCTTGAACCCTGTCTTATGAGATCCCTGACCTCTTTGACAACATCTTCCTGCAAGTCTTTCTATTTTTCACAGGCCTCTTTCCATCAGCCGTCACTAAATTCAAGACACTTCTTTTTAAACTAAGATCAGATACAAAATTCAAAACATGTCTGTCTGTGCCCTGTGTGTCTGTGTTTAATTAAAAAAAAATAAAAAAAACTGGCAAGTTTAGTGGGGGATAATAATGTGAAACACTGATCCTTGGAGTAAATACTGGGCCCTACTATTATCTCCTGGAGTAAATATTGGTCTCTACTTTTAGCTCCTGCAGTCCTGGACCTGAGTTTTAAGGAAAGTTACTCAGCATTTCAGAGTTTTCAATGTCTTCATGAATAAAATGGGAATTTATTAGTCACCTGTCAACTTCTTCAGGTTTTGGTCAGGTTACATTTCCTGTGTGTCAAAGTGATTCTCTAATGATAAAAGGAACTATAGAAATATGAAAGTTTAATGAGTATCACATGACAGACCCTGCATATGGGGACATAGGTCCCTCCTTCCCTAAAGGGGCTCCTGCGGAGTGAGGAGGTGGCTGAGGAAGGCAATGACCACAGTCCATTATGATAAAGCATTCTGATAAAGGCTTTATGAGGCCTTCCAGGGAGGAATCCATCCCTTCTAAGACAATTCAGGAAGCACTTCCTGAGAGAGAGAAGCATCTGAACTGAACACGCCAGAGTGGTGAAGGGAGCCAGCTGAGAAAAGAAGGGACAGCATCTTTCCATGAAGGGAATCAGCATGCTCAAGATCAAAGAGGAGAAGTGTAATAATAATTACTGCACCATATGGTTTGGCTGTGTCCACACCTAAATGTCATCTTGAATTCTAGCTCCCATAATTCCCATGTGGTATGGAGGGACCCAGTAGGAGGTAACTGAATTGCGGGGGCAGGTCTTTCCCATGCTGTTCTCAGATCTGATGGTTTTATAAAGGGCCTCTCCTGCATACAATCTCTCGCCTGCCACCATGTAAGATGTGACTTTGCTCCTTATTTGCCTGCTGCCATGATTGTGAGATCTCCCAACCATGTGGAACTGTGAGTCAATTAAGCATCTTTCCTTTATAAATTATCCAGTTTAAGGTATGTCTTTATTAACAGCATGAGAACAGAATAATAGACTGCATATCTCAGTTCAGGCTGCTGATATGGGCATGCATACTGATGCTGGGAGTCTTGAATTAAAACACAAATACTGAAAGGACATTGCAGGGTCATGAAGTGGGGAGGAAGAGGGAGAGAGTAGGGAACAAGTCCCCTCTCCAGTCTCCTCACCACTCTGAGAAAAGGCGGGGCTTTGCTGCTGAGAATATTGATTTCCTCGACTCCCATGTTTTCCTGTGTCCCCATGCCCATGGCTCTATTGAGGGGAGATGCTACCAAAGGCCACACTTCCTCAGTGTGTCAGATTCTTCCACCTGCCTTTAGCCTCTCCAAATTTCAGATCAGAGGGCATTTTTAGCTCTTCAAGGTCTTTGGGATCCTGTCCTTAAGCAAGGGACCCAGGTGTATATCAAGAAAGCTGAGCCCACTCTCTGGCAGAGGAAGGCAAGCCTGTCATTCACATAAAGAGCATCCTCTAAATGATTATGTGTCTATAAGTGCATGGAAACACTGGGGATTTAGCAAAACCAAAGAAAAGTACTTGGAAGCTCCCTGCCAAATACTTATCTCATTAAATTTTAAGTGTGTTTGTGTTTTAAAGGGAAATGTAATCCATATGTTTCTGATGGACTTAGGTTAAACATATCCAAATTCTTCATAATCATTTCTACCATCCAATAAGTTATTGGAACTTGGATTTTAGTCTCAAATCTTCCTCAGAAATAGAAAGCTGTGGATTTGTTCTAGGAGTAGGAAGAGTAGGAGTAGTAGGAAGGAGTAAGAAAAGCAGGTGGGACAAAGTTCAGTTTTGTGTTTGATGCATGGAAAAACAAATCTCCCTAAAACAAACTCTTCCGTGACAGTTCTCACCTGCCCTTTATCTGTGGCATTCAGAGTCACCCTATTCATTGGGAAGGTGACCTCACATCTTCCATTGTCTAGGACAGTCCCAGTCAATGCCACTTGTCCCAAAATCATTGTCTACAGTGCCCATTTTTATTCTCTAAATATCCTGGTATGAATAAGAAATGATGTGATCACCCTAGAAAGGGCAGAGCTCTGACACGCCCATTGTCTCCTTTCTTCCCCTTTGAAATAGTCCAGATAGAAATGTAACACAAGCCACAAATTCAAGCTACATATGTGTTTTAATATTTTCTAGTAGAAATATTAAAAATAGTAAAAATGAATAGCCAAAATGAATTCAAATATGTTTCATTTAACCAAATATATCTAAAATATTATCATTTCAAAATATAATCAACATAAAACATTAACGAGATATTTTACATTACTCTATTTATATTAAGTCTTTGAAACTTCTGATGCATCTCAAATTGGATTTACTACATCCCTTAACTACATACCACAATTGTCTACTGTACTGGACTGTGAAGTTCTGCTATGAATGTCTTCCATGTCATGCTTTTTTATACAATCTATGGTTAGTAAATTCACTTACACTGAGTTCTTGTACTTGTAACTTAGTATGTAAAGTGAAGAGTTTCAAAGACTGGCTTTAAAACCCATTATCTTTCCATGGACTCAGTAATAGCAATAAATCTAGTTTCTCACTCAAATCCCAGTAATAACTTTGTATTCAAGGTGGTATCTTGTCTCCCCTTGAAATATTTAAATTCATTATTTCCTTGGGGTAGCCAGACACATAGCCATGGAATGTTTAAGGTAGGAATAATATATTGGCTATTTCAATGTTTCATATTATCCTCAGTATATAATCAACAAAGGTTGGTTGCTGCTATTTTTATGTTCCTCTTGTCTGCCACCCTTTTTTTTAGTGTCCCTTTAGCTCAGTAAGATTCTTGTTTTTCTTTGAAGCTCTGTCCCAGGGCCTCTGCCATGCCTGCAAACACTAGACTCTCAGTCATTGTTCCAGGAAGGTGTTTGGGTTCTGGTTTCAACTCTCACTTATTTAGGAACTCTGTGGCAGGAACTTCCTCCCCTATCATTGGGCATGAAACGTCAAAGGCTGTTCATGTACATCTGCTACTGGAAATGATAGACTTTCTCCAAAAGTGCCATATTTGCTTAGTGACACATTCAATTGTCATTTAAATTGAAGTTGTCACTTCCTTGTCACACTGGGCACCTAAAAGGCTGTGTTTACATATGCTCATGTGCATGAACACACACATACACACACACACACACACACACACACACACACACATTCGATTGCTAATTAATGAATTTGTATATCTTTTTCTTCTTTCTCCCTGCTTCTATTTCTTCCTTTCTTCCTTTTTAGCATTTACCACTGAGGCTAACACATAATAAGTACCTAATATGGTTTGGCTGTGTACCCACCCAAATCTCATCTTGAATTGTAGTCCCCATAATCCGCATGTGTCAAGGGAGGGACCCAGTGGGAAGTGATTGGATCATGAGAGCAATTTCCCCCATGCTGTTATCATGATAGTGAGTGAGTTCTCATGAGATCTGATGGTTTTATGAGTGTGTGACAGTTCCTCCTTCACATGCTCACTCTCTCACTTGCCACCTTGTGAAGAAGTTGCCTGCTTCCCCTTCTGCCATGATTGTAAGTTTCCTGAGGCCTACCCAGACATCCAGAACTGTAAGTCAATTAAATCACCTTTGTTTATAATTACCCAGTCTCAGATAGTATCTTTATAGCAGTGTCAGAATAGACTAATGCAGTATCCAACAAATACTTCTTAGCTAACTGATATACCTGACAAATTTTAACAAAAAGCAAGAGGTTTTAAAATTAAAAAAAAAAAAAGCCTCATAACTAAACCTTTAAACACCCAAAGGCAGCTTTATAATTCCAGTTTACTACAAACCAACTCAACAGACTCAAGTCACTTCTAATCTGGGAAAGTCTAAAATAAAGCTAATGCTGTTAGCTTTTTAATGGGACAAAAATTACAGTTACTATGAAAACTTTAGCTTAGAATTCTCAGACTTGAGGATAATTAAAGTCACAGCTTGAATGTTACAGAAATAACTATTTCAATTTAATTTACTATTGCATACAATATAAGGGCTGATTACTTTCCCCTCAGCATTTTGGACTTTGATATAACTTCCTTTTTGTGAGTTAAATTTACTTAAGTGTCAATATTTTGCAATTCAAAGTACCAATTAACTTTATGTGTGTTTTCCCCTTTAAAAAAAAGCTGCATTCAACAAAATTGTAAATATTCTCTTGTTTTTGCTTCGCTTCTATCACACACTTTGGGCTTGAGTTGTCTTTTAGAAATGTGTATTTCAGGATCAGGTAAGCTCAGGGTGTTCCTAGGTCAAAAACTCTAATCAAATAAATTGATCACCACATTGGTTTTATTCTTGGACCTTCATCCCTTTTACCTAAGAATGTAGTGTAGCATATTCAAAAGAACATGTGATCCAGAGAATACTGGGATTTGAAATCTAGATTTCTATGAGATGTTGGGCAAAGTGTTTAATCTCTCTTAGTTTCTCCAAATTATAATAATTCCTATTGAATGCTTGTATGCTAGGTACTGTTCCTGGTAATTTTCAAAGGTTATCTAATATAATTATTAAAAATCCCATCTCTCCATTTTGAAGATAAGAAAAATGAAGTTTAAAAAAGTTAAATAACATGCTCAGAGTCACAGAGCTAGTGCAGAATAAAATCTTGATTCCCAACTCATTTAATACTTTCAGTTCCACTGCTTTTAATCTCTATTCCTTGGATTCTGTAAACTGAAGGTGGCACTATTGTTAAGACACGGACTGGGAGACTTGATGCAGGGCACACATCTGGCTCAAGCTTAATGTTGCCAGTGGACCATGGGTACCCTAGATCGCTAACTCATGCTCTTACCTGTCAGCCTAAAATAAGTGACATAGAGATCAAGTCTCCAAAACAAAGAGTTTATTCAGGAAGAACAAGGGATTGCATTCCTGGATATGTGTGCCAGGGCAGACCATAGGTACATCTGAGGAGGCAGAAGCAAGGGAACGCTTTTTTATATTTTTTACTTTTTTTTTTTTTAGAGATGGGTCTTGTTCTATCATCCAGGCTGGAGTGCAGCAGAACAATCATAGATCATTACAGATTCAAACTCCTAGGCTCAAGTGATCCTCTCACCTCAGCCTCCCAAATTTTTGAAATTATAGTGTGAGCCACTGTGCCCAAGGAGAAGCTTTTAAAGGCAAGACCATTGATTGCAGGAGATTATCAAAGGCAGTGGTGTTGGTTCATTGGTGGTGCTAGCTGTTGATAGGTGAAGGTCTTTATAAAACAGGCTTAACTGGAAAGTTCTGGTTGGGAAAGTCCTTTGTGGCGGTTCCTGTTACTGTCATACCTGTGTGAGGACCCTTCCTTCATGACCTCCCAGCTCCATTTTCTTAGGGTTTGACATGAGTAACTCCATTTTTGTACTGACAATTTTCACAGACCTGAGAGAGAATTACCCCAAACTGTGATGTTTACACCTTACTATGTGGCCCAAATTTACACAATCCTTCAAAATAAATACTGAAGCAACCAGTAAGAGCAATCTACTAACCAGGCTACCCTTCTGGAAACCTTGCAGGCTACAAGTCCCAAGACGGCTCTGGAGGCAGAAGCCCTAGAGCAACTCACAGCATCTGGTCGAGTCCACATAAGGTTCAGAGCTCCCCAAGCAGCAACCCAACCAATTAGCATAGCCAGACCTAGAGACAGGGGCTCTAAAAACTCAGCCATCCCTGATGCTGGGCAACCCAGGACCCTCTGTTTCCCAGATTGAAAGACAGTCTTGTTGACAGTCATATCTTCTAACCAGGTGGACGAAACTGATTCAAGAGAAGTAGGGAAGAACAATGAAAAGACTATCTTACCAGCTTTCACATTCTGAGACCAGACTAGACCCCTGTTCTTCTACATTAGATGAGCTATTTTAGTGTCCTTCCACACAAAACTTGCCTATTTTGATTAAGCAAATTCAAGACAGATACCTGTCTCTGAAATCAAAAGAATTTTTAAGAATGTGCCAACAAACAATTTCATTCTTGTTATGTATTCTGGGACTGGCTTCCATAAAAAATTCATAGAGCAGAAACCAATCAACTTGAAAGTCAGAATACTGGGAGCAGGTTCCCATCTGCCCCTTATGAATTTCATGACTGTCAGGAAGTTATTTCATCTTTCTTGCTCAGTTTATTCATCCCATTTAAAATTGCAAACACACACACTCCAGAACTCCCTATCTTCCTTCCCTATTTTATTTTCCCCATAATAATTTTTATTTCTAATATACTAAATAATTTATTTATTGATTTTGTTAATTGTTCTCTCCAGTAAGATGCAAGTTTCATACAGATGCTAGTGGATTTCCCTGGTCCAGAACAGAATATAATGCGTAAGAACTCAATATATATTTCTGGCAGTTGTTGTTGAATATATTATGTGATTTGATTATACCATATCAATGGCTATCCTCTTGAGATGCTATGAACCCTGTGAGTTCATAAAGATAGTATTAAACAAGCCTTAGGCTAATTTGAATATGACTGAAAGCATAATGGAGATAACACATTTTAACCATCACCAGTTCCTGAGGCTAACATATCCACCATCTTATTAAACAAGAGAATTTAACACTTAAAATTACTGTTTATTATTTCTTTTTACGATTTTCATGAATTATCTATGTCTTTTGTTAATAAAAGTGATAATGCTATTAGTTTGACCAAAAGTGTAGTTTGTCAAACAAGCAAAACAACAGACAATGGGAGAAAAAGCTATAAAAGAAATTTTTGGCCTGTAACATTTCTCAAGTCAGTTAATCTTCTCAAGCCATATTTTGTTACCTTAAAAATAAGCGTGGTATAAGATAGCACACATAAATAGCCTAACACGTACTTAACAAATATTAGCTCCTTTTTGTTCACATGGTGGAAAAGAAATTCTTTCCAGCCCTAGAATCCAGGATTCTACGTTGCACAAGCATGAGATGTGTAAGTGAAGCTTAAGGCTAGACTTTCAAAATATCATATTGTCAGCTTAAGAGCTCTTTTAAAAAGTTCAGCAAATAAGTAAAACTTAACAAATAACTATTAAACTATCATGAGTTCAATTCTTACCACAACACTACAATATTGGCTCAGAAAAGTCAGCAACATAGGTGAGGACAGCACTTATATCTCTCATTCTCAGGAAAAGTAACCAGTGCTGGACGATTCATTGAAGGGTTTATTTCTAGTTGCAAAAGGAAAGAATAGGCAAAAGTGAGATACTGAGATAAAGTTTGAGAAGAAACAGAAAGAAGACACTGGAAGACAGAGTGACAGGGCAAGTAGATGACAAAAGCTAATTCCTTCCTATGCTGAAACACCTTCTATCTGCATTAGCATCTGAGCAACAGAGGATATGAACAAGCATATCCCCTCTTTCTCCCATTGGTTGCTAAGTGACACCAGAAAAGAGGTCAGAAGAACACAGCTTAAAATGGGAATCTTTTCAATTTCTCAATATTTCTCATGCTTCTTGAGAGTAGGAACCTTTCATGGTTATTGTTGTCTAGACTCCCTGATGCTATGCATGGAGCATTAAATACAATAATAATAACTAGGAGCAATTACTCTATGCCCAAATGTTACCTTAGATACTCTGAACATATTACCTTGTTTAGTTTTAGGCTTCAAAACTTCCACAATTTTCTAAGTATTATTAGTCCCACTTTTAGAATTAGGAAACTGAGGTTCAGAAAGGTTAAGAGATTTTATTAACCAAAGATAGGACAGGTTAAATTAAATTAACAAACAGCCTCCAAATCTAAAGGGTTATTTTTTACTCAAAGTCCTTTCTGATTTGAATCCAGGGCACTCTCCAGAATAACCTTCCTCCAAGTGGTGAGTTGAGACTCCAAGCTGATCACTCACACTTTGAATCTGTGATCTTAATGTGAGACCTCTTCAATAACCATTTTGGCAGGAGAAGAAGAAACGTGGAAGATCTCACACTGACAAATGCTTCATCGAAGAAGTGGATGTGTCACTTGTGCTCACAGCCATTGGGCAACACAAAGCCCCCATGCAACTGTGATTACCCACAACAAGAGATGAATTAGATATCAGTAAGTCCTAACAGAGACTTGCCCAAGGCTACATAGGATG